CGTGCCTGCGTCTTCGGGGAGCTGGCTTCTGCCACTGGCTGACTGTCAGCTGGTCCAGGGGAGTCCACCTGGAAAGGCCTGGGGTGCCACAGTCACCTATGTTACAGCAGTCACAGATCTCCTTCGTGCCTTCTACCGGAAACCAGCTGTCAGCAGACTTGTTGAAGGAGCAGGCTTTGTTCAGTTGGTCGGGGGCTTGCTCAGCCGGAGTGACTTTCAGATGGCACGTGATGTAGACCATGTTCCTGGAGTCATTGGCAAAGTGGAACACATCCACTGTGAACTGCAGAGTATCCGGCCTGGGTCTGGGGGTTCTGAATTCCGAGGCAGAATCCGAGAGACCGTCCACGAGACAACCGTGGAAGTCAATGATGGCGTGATGAGGGGAGGTGGTCTTGGCTGGCATCGGTGTGGCCACACAGTGGTCCACGAAGAGTCGCAGTGGCACGTGGCTGCCCATGTGCACCTCGGCCTGAAGATGAGCTGGGTCTCCCAGCTGGAAGATGGGTGTCTTCTTCTCAGCACTCCAGTCCTCCTCCATCAGGCGCAGAGAGGCGGCCAGCTTCTCCTCAAAGAGCACGGTGGTCCTGAAGGGCGTCCAGGTGGGCTGGACCGCCAGGCTGCTCACATTGCCCTGCCTGGGATAATGGCATTTGATTGGGACCTCAGCGTGGTTAGTCCTCAGGATGGCCAGATTGCCCACAGGACGGGGCGTGTGGAGCAGAAAAGTGCTGTAGACCGGGGCATCATGAGTCACCTGTACACGATTGCCGCACTCGTGCAAGCCGACCTCAAACCTGATCACGTCATCAGAGGCCTCAGAGGGCAAGGGCCTGTTTTTGTTTTTGTTTTTTTTCATAGAGAAGGGCATTCAGATGACCAAGAGACACTGAAGAAATGCTCAAAATCATTGGCAATAAGAGAGATGAAAATCAAAACCATAATTAGATACCATTTTACCCTAGTTTTTGCAGTGGCAAAGTTTAGCGGCACAGCAAGTAATAAATGTTGGAGAGGCTGTGGTAAGATAGGAACCTTATATATTGTTGGTGCGATTGTAAAATGGTACAACCACTCTGGAAGATAGTTTGGTGCTTCCTCTAAAAGCTGAACATAGAAATTCCATATGAACCAGCTCCACTACTTGGAATATACCCTGAGAAAATGAAAACTGAGGCACAAACAGAGACTTGTACATGAATGTTCATAACAGCACTATTCACCATAGCAAAAACATGGAAACAGCTCAAATTTCCAACCACATTGGAATGGATTGAGAAATCATGGCATATTCACACAATGGAATACCATGCAGTATGCAGGAGCAATACTTTTGTAAATTACTACCTAACGTGGGAGAGACTGGATAGCATTATGCTATGTGAACTCAGTCTCAAAAAGACAAATACTGTTTAAGACAATTATTGTAGAACAAGTATGAGGATCTAAGGTGGGGGGGGAGCAGAGGGGTCAGAATGGGTGTGTGTGTGTGGGGGTGAACTTAATGATAGGGTTGCACAGTTTGATGAATGGAGGGAGTGGTGGGCAAAGGAAAGGAAAAAGATCCAGTGTGAAAAACAATGTATACGAACTTTGTAAGCAAACCAGTACAACAAAAACAAAAACAAAACAAAACTAGGGAGGGAAAAAAAGAATTGACAGAGAGAAAAAGCCTTCTGACCCTCGATGAGATGGATTGATTCAGTGACTGGGGTAATCGGGATGGGTGTGTCAGAGGCAGTGCAGTTGGCGCAGGATAGAGCAGGGTTTAGGGCTGTTGTGCATAGGGTCGCTATGAGTTGCAAACGACTCGACGACACATAACAACAACAACAACAACAGCCTCCTAAATGGTGAAAAAAATAAATTTGTCAAACTAAAGGAAAAAAAGAAAAAAGAGAATGTGGGGACGTTTGGGTCCCCCAAGGCCAGAACATTTTGAGTGCATTAAGGCATCATATGAACTTAATCCTATTCCCAAGCAAACCTGGGCATCAAGAAAGTTCTATGCAGGGGAGTGGCATAATAAGATTTATGCTTTTTTGTTGCAAAGAAAACTCACTTCCCATTCAACATGTTTGCTTTTTATTTTGTGACATTGATTGCAATCCCCTCAGAGCAACAGCACCCCTCCCACTTCTTCCCTGGTTCCCCATGGTCATTTGTTCTTCTTTTCTATCCCTTCCTGACTTCTGAGTTTTGTTTTTTGAACAAATGGTGTCTTTTTCATCTTTGGTTAATTGCGCTGAGGCACACATTTCTCCTTAGTGTTATTACTCATTTTGTGGGCCTTTCTATTATTTGTCTGAAAATTGATCCTCAGGGTGCATTCCATTTCAGGCTTGAGGGCCACAGTCTGGGGGATCTCACCAGTCTCTATTTGAAATAGATATTGCTGGGCAGGGGGAGGAAGGAGACCTGGGTGAGAATCTGCCATAATGGTGCCGGTCAGATACTACAGGGGCATCTGGCAGTGCTTGTGCTAGATTAATGTTGTTGAATACGGTCGAATTGATTTCCACTTATAATGGCACCATGTGACAGAGTTATAACTATTAGTGTAGGCAGCTCTGGCAGCTAAGTGGAAAGGAGCTGTGCTGTCAACCCAAAGGCATGTGGTTTGAATCTACCAGCAGTTACTCAAGAAAGATGGCAGTCTCCTTCTGTGCAATTTGTTGTTACTTTTTTTATAAGTCGTCCAGTCAGAACTGACTCATAGCTCACCAGCCAATGGATATTCAGAGGAAGTAACTTGTACAGGATACTGTGCACATTTTTCACCCGGAGCAGTTAGTGGATTCCACCCACGAGGCTTTGGGTTGGCAGCACAACTTCTTACAATTAAGCCACCAGAACACTGTTTCATGTGATCTTTAGCCTCTGAAAACCCACTGGAAGGTCAGTTATGAGTCAGTTCTGACTCAGTGGCTCACATTAGCACCATCGGTTTTCTTGGCTGTAGTCTTATGGAAGCGGATAGCGTTGTCTCTCTCTGTAGAGTCACTAGTCTCTCAGTTAGAGTGGCATAGCTTGGGCTCCTTTAGTAGCTAACTAGGATTTGGGAACGGACTAGATGGGAGCTAGAAGCCAGCACCAGGAATGACTCCCGCAAACATCTTTTTTAACACAGAGAGATAATTAGCTTACTGTCTTGAACATAATTTACCTTCAATTATGGTTAGTGCATTGAACTACTGTAATGATCCCATAAATTACAAAGTACACTTAGCAATGAGCTGTAGTAATGCCAAAATGAACATGTGTGAGCATTGTAATACATATTATAATGTCTTAAATTTGAGGTCAGAGTCTGTCAAAAGACAAAAGCACATAAAGGGATCATGAAAGGCAGCTTTCTCACCTAACTTTGACTTTCACTTTCTTCATATTCTGTGTTATAAAGGGTAAAGATTAAAGTGGGGCCATTAGAGAGTATTTGTAAGTTGTAGCTCCCTTACAAATTCACCTTATTGAATGACAGTAAGAGCTTTTTGTCTTCACTGAATCTGTGCTTTTGCCTGGAGGTTTGGGAAATATTTTCATAGTAAAGTTATCCTCCTCTTTGTATGCAAGGTAGTTAATAATTTTTCTCTTCAGTTAGCATGTGGTCCCCCTTTTCATTGTTGTTGTTGTTGTTATGTGCCATCGAGTCGTTTCCGACTCATAGCAACCCTATGCACAACAGCCCTAAACCCTACTCTATCCTGCGCCAACCGCACCACCTCTGACACACCCATCCCGATTACCCCA